GGAGCTACAAAACTACACTAGTTGTACAGCTTCCTGGTGCCACATTAGCCTCAGAAGTGTTGTGGCAGAAATGAGCCGCAACGCAAATTTTGCGACAATTTGCATCCGGATAGTACTGAGGTATGAAAGTCGTCTATCTTAGCATTTGCATGCCACACTCCGCTTTTGCATTGGATGCTTCCCATTCGCCTGCTGCGTGATGTTGATCTGCTTGCCGACATATGTCAAGAGCCTCCTTGGCACTCTTGATAGCTGCATCCCAACCGTCCAAGCTGGGCCATTTCAGTCCCGGGTTTGAGTCCTCCTGTGAAATGTTGTAGTACTGTGTCAAACACTTGATATATGACTTGAGGAGAAGATCAAAGCTCGCAAATGAGACAAAGGTCCCTCATGAAGTCCGGGGCACTGGATTTCCCAGTAAGTAGTGCCAATGGCATTATGTCTTTCGATCCAGTCGGGTCTTCGAGTAAGCCACAGAAGAATGAAGGTTGACTGGGAGATTCGGTGTTGCGAGAGAACATGAAGAATTCGAATGCATTCCCATCATACAAGATGCCATAGACAGGGACCTGTAAGTAGGTATGCTGATTAGCAAAATCGCCAGCTGCAGCAAGAAAGAAAGACGATCAGATGGCTTTTCCGTCGGCGTCGGAGAATGATTCACCGTTACATCCGGCAATCAGCTGTGCGACCGCATTGAGGTGCTCAGTGGCATTCCCCACGGCCTTCTTATACTCGACGAAAAGGACGGTAATGGTAGGATAATGAATTGGTAATCGACTCTCCCTTTGCTTCCTTCCAGCTGCACTTCCGGCGTGGTACGTATGTGTAATCCGAAAAGTGGCATGAGGCAATTGAAGATCTATGGTATCGTCAGCGGCCGCTCAGGTACGGGATTACTGCTTATCACCGGTGAAAGAAACCGTGATCTCGTCACCTCGTTCCCATGAGCCGGCATAGGCCCATAATGAAAAAACATTTTGTTAATGTCAGCAATAATGCCCCGAAAGATGGTCATAGGGATCCGCGATCGGTAAAGTTCAAAGGACGGTGCGTCTTCCAGCCCCTGCCTAGGGTCCAGATTGACGTGAGGTGCCATCTGACTGTAATTCACTTTCGAGAAGTTGAGATTGGCTGATTGTGCTGAGAGTCTATTGCGCACAACTCACGATTTAACTTGGCTACTTCTGCGGACTGTTTGGCACCGAGGGCTTTTTGCAACAAAGCATCCTCCGATGCGTCATCGACTTTGGCATTGGGGAAGGACAAACGATAGGGATATCTCGGAGTCAAATTTCAAAACTAGAGGACAACGCATGATCTTAAAGTGGAGCGGGTTTCAGGATGAGCTAAAGTGGTCCTAAACTCTCGTTTCGGACACTACATATTGACCTGTTTTGACCACACTCATCCCCGTGGGAACCAATACAATCGTGGGGTATGCATGTCCCTCCAAATGGCCGCCTGGCCAAAGCTGAGGCACCTGCTCCATCACACTCGTTAGCGCCGTTGTAGGTGATGTGCGCGTCAATTAACGCCAGTATAACATATGTCACACTATAGATACGACTTCAACCCCTGATTGCGGCTCTACATCCACACATCCCGGTAAGCGCCCACAAAATCTGTCGATCCCACCCAGCTTTACCATCCACCGTTCCACAGCTCAAGGTTGCCACACACGATCCTTTATATTACTACAGCCATATAGGTATGAGTTGAACCTCTGATCGCGGCTCTACATCCACATGTCCCGTAAGTGCCCAAAATCTATCGATCCCACCCAGCTTTGACATTGTGCCATGTAAACGTTGTACTCCATTCCACAGCTCAGGGTTGCCATGCACAATCCTTTCCAGCCCTGTCGGCCATCTCTGCGCTCATAGAAAACTCCATTTCCGGTTAGTGTTCTCCCTGTTTGCTCTCGGCGTTGCAGCTAACAAAAACTTTCTAGATATCATTGAGGGCTCTTCTCTTCATCCTTAACCGCAGATGACTAGAGGTGCTTCATGCATCGCTAGTGAATCACGGTTACCGTGAAGATATTTGACTGACGAGGGCCAGAGGTTGTATTCAACACCGCTGGCACTCACGGTCATCTTGGTCTTCTTGCCCACCCCCTGCAACGCCAACCTCCCGTTCTAATCCTGCGCAGTACACTCGACATTCATACCCCCCCAATCAGCTCTTCTACCCAAACGGTGCATTACATCACATGCCGATATCCAAACTTCTAGTTCAGCGTTACTCGTGTATGGGCCCACAAGTCTCACTGCCTGTGGTTAGGCATTCCTGGCACCGCAGCAAACGTTTTGCGCATCGTCTTTTAACATCAAACGGCACTAACAATCCCACTCGGTGGACATTGTCCCTGCCCTGGATTGTGTACTGTCGATTCGTCCAATCCTTATTCGTGGTCTCGTACTCAGGTTTGGCTTTCTGGACATCACTCGCACACCAAGCGGCGCTTACACGACGTGCCAAACGGTGCAATCAGACATGAACCTCAACCTTACCCTTCTGCCACCCTCGACCTTCTGCACCCACCAATTGTGCCATCCAATCCATGTTAGTGGACTCATATTCACATTCGCCACTTGTGCACCATGCGCCCGAAACCCTGTGCTTGAGCGACTTGAGAAACGGCGGTGCAATTAGACAAGAACACCGTGCGCTCGCCACCAGCCTACCCCGTGTACTCCATACCCTGTAGCAAATACCTTTATAAGAGTAGTTCCAACGCTACACCCCTCTCTCCCCGTCATTGAGGGCTAACAATCTCGTTAAATTCCTCACCACCCTCTACCCTGTGTTGCATGCCACCCTTTATCCAGTCCGTCTTAGCAAGCCTGTATTCGCATTTCATCTGGATACTATGCGCACCCCATCTGGCGCCCAAGTGCTGAGAGAAACGGTACAATTTGACTGGGGCTCCCATCCGACCGACGTGTGCCCCACTGCATATTTGATAGTTCCAGCGCCATACCACTGCTCCACTGCCCACCAATTGCCCTGTTTGCCTATTGGTATGCGCCACAGCTACACACACTGACTGAATGTGCAGCTGACTGAGTATATCTTAGACTAGCCGTGCAACCGCTGCATACTTGTTGAGAAGAGCCTGTCCTGTTCTTTTCCATTCACCCTATCTCTTAACGGCTACATACCATGCCGAGGCATAAGCCTGTAATTCCTCGCCTTACTACCTCTCCTGTAAAAAAGTATCACCCGTATAATTTAAGCAAACCCAAAAAATATGTGGATCTCCTTGGTGGCCAGTCTGCACCTGAATCCAAACCCTCAACATCCAAAAAGAAAGGACATGAGCGCGTTCCAACTGCTGAAGTCCCCATTCCCCAGCCATCGCGATGCATTGAGATAGCAAACGCCAGTGGCACTGTGATGACCCAACGCTGGGGGCCTGGAATCGCATCTAGAGATTGGTGGCCAGTGCCAAATCGCCACGATCATGTAGGAAATGCAATATCAACAGATGCCAGCAATGTTTCGACTCCCCCTTCAACGCCGGCTCTAAAAAAGGAATCACCGAAATGGGAGGCATCACCTCAAGGTTGGCTGGAAGGTATCGCAGAACCCGCTCTTTCAAACCCAGACTCCGCCTTGCCCCCTACACCTTCGTGGTCAGCTTCCCAAAAACGGGCCAAGAGAGCATTACAAAATCCGCAAAAGCAAGCTGCATGGCTCCATTGGCGCCGCGATATAATACACAACGCACTGGAAATCTATCTAGAAGTAGAGGCAAAGAAGGCAGGACGCATACCCCTTGCCACCCCCAGCGAGACGTCATTTGACAGAAACGGAAAACTACAAACACCGGCAGTATCGCTGTGCTCTCACTGCAATGCATCTCCCCGGTTTCATTCACTCATGACGATCACGTTCTCAGGTACGTTTCCGTTCTGATCTCGCTCAACAAACAATGACCCAATGACCCCGGGCCAGGTGCCGTGCGGTGGATGTTCGAATATTGTGAATGTCCATCTAATACTCTCCTGCTTAGCATCATCCAGTCTGGCTACTTTCCGGGGTCACCTGTAATGCCTCAAGTTGCCTTCCATTTCGACGTCCTTTCGCTGTATTCAGCCTTACATGTGGACTCGTATACCCCGGCTGCCTCCTTTCATGCCGCTTTGTTTTCCATGTTACAAGAGAATGGCTACAAGTTCACCCACAACGTGAGATTCATTTGTTATTTGTCAGGAATTGGCACGTTCATGATCTGGCGTTCATATAGGACCCTTTTCTCCAGTCGTTTAGTGAGGTGATCACTTGGTTCCAGGCCTTACATGATTTAGTAGACGTTGAAATGGAGAGAGAATTCCTCCATCCCTCATCCCCTGCGGCACCCAATGCACCGCTATGGCGTTCCGCACTGGCCGAGTCCGCCGGGTCCATCCACGCCGTTCCTGCTCACAACGGAGATCCTTCGGTCGCTACATCCCATGGCATGGTATCTGTTGACCACGGCATCCCAACCTTCACAAAGACGTCACAGGATCTTCCGTTGATGGTCCCTGAGCGAGCAAGGCTCATTCGCAACCCATCCGACACCACCGCCAGCCCATACCTCCATGCGAGATGCCCCCAATGTTTTGGAGGTTTGATATGGGGTAGTTCAGCCAACAAGTTAGTCTTCTCATGGATGTCCTCCGAGAACAGGTATACTAAGTGTTTCCCTAGATGTCCTGATGTCATCGTCACTATGGATGGTAATATGCAACATAGGCAGTACATGTTCGTTGGAGGAGACATGGTCCTTCCCTGGAATGAAACCTGTACATTCCTCACCGATGCCGAAATTGAGGAAGCTGCCCTCCATGTCTCTGATGCATGAGCTGCATCTAGAGGTTGTTCGGAAGAATCTCGTCCCTCATCCCTTGTACCGGATGGTGCTATTGATGAATGTGAAGAATCACAGAGCCACAAAACATGGAAAACGGACTGCCTCGAAAACGGATACATTCCGTTCGAAGGGTCTGATGGCAACTGTATGCCGTCATGATATCCCCCTTTTCCTCTGCGATGTACGCACTCCAGGTGAACAGCAGCACTTTTCAATTGCCATGCTCCTTGCACTCAACTGCCAACTACCCTCAAACGCCACCATTGGATTAATGTATGATGTTGGATGTGTTCTCGATCGATCAATTGCCAAGGTATGACTTTGCATAGCATTCAGGTACAACCTCTTGATATACAAACAAAGTACAATCTCATTCCCGAAATCGCTCCTAGATTGAGCATCGCCATTTCAGTCTTCCATGCCTATGCACATCAATTCTGTTGTCAAATCGCATTTCACCCCAGGAAACGAAATGGGTTTGGAAAGTCAAACGGGGAAGGAAATGAGCGGCTATGGTCCTTAATTGTTGATACAATAGCACCTGAATGCATAATGAGTGTGAGTCTCACCAGGCCAAACACTGTTTGTTCAACAACCCTATCTTATCCAAGGTTCTCAGCTAAACGAATCACAACAAAATCAAGAAGATTGCAATCCGTGGCCGAGACCGTCTTGCTTCATTGGCAAGGTCCAAACTGGCCACCATTCTCCGTGAGGAGGTGCTTCTGATGGATCTTCTTAAAGATTTGGAGAGTGACAGGGGATTCACAACTCCTTTCCTTCGATCCCAGTGGGAAGAGCAAAAGACTTTGCAGCTCTCCATTCGAACTTGTATGTCTGTTTCCAATCCCATGTTCACCATTGACCTATGCTGGTTATGGTCTAGACAATGACCAAGCCGGAATGAAAAAGTTCACGAGACTTCTCGAAGCCGAACGGTCAGCGCAAGCACATTTGGAAGCATTGGATGCTGTAAAGAAGGAGTTGGACCGAATCAGCTTGACGCGAACACTGTCCCACAGCCCTATCAATCTTGACAAACATTTCCAAGCTGCTCAGCATGTACAGTTGTTGCACGATGAATCTCAACAATGCCTACGAGATCTGACAGCTCAAATTGGCCTGTCCGATTTGAAACCTCCGCGAAATCCGTCTAGCACAGAAAGGGACTATATGGAGAAGTACATCCTGGCCCGATTCCGCAAACATGCCATCCTTATCCACTTAGCCAAGTACCAGGACGAGATGAACCCTATTCAAGCTCGCAACAGCGTGGAGGACGACTCATTACAAAAGTTGGTAAGCACAACCCCGTTTGAGGTGAATGGTGATGTGCTTGGAGGCTTATCCGGTACTTATAGGCTACTCGAAGATGGTCTCAGTGTTCAATAGCGCAAAAGACCGTGCCCGCGTTATTTCCGACCAGGTCACGTGATATAACGAGCTTGTTGACAGCCTCGAGCATTCCGATAGGCCTCCTGGCTCCCGGATTCTTTGAAGCACACCAAAATGGACGTCAAAATACTGCTTAACATGGATCCCAGTGATGAGCAGTGGACAAACATGTGGGAGAGCCTGTGGGTTTCCAACTGGAACCTGGATGAGAAACCACCTGCCTTTATCGTCGATCAGCAGGTTCACCATGGCATAGTAGCAGTGCTGTCACTCGCTTGTATTGAGGAAGAAAAGCTTAGGCTCACTCGAGAGGAACTCAACGCGCGCACCTGGATCGTCCAGTCAGTAGACTCCATGATTCGGACCACAGACGATATTCATCGTATGTCCTACAATTCCCACAAATCACCAATACACTAACATTGATTCCAGCTCTTTATAAATATCGATGGCAACTACGCCTCAAGTTGTTACTCAAGTGCCGTGATACAATTGTGAATGGACCATTTCCTTGCATCAATCTGTGGCGTGCATCGACACACTACCTGCTTGCAAACCTAGAACATTCAGACCCCCAGGCTGCACTGAGTGCCATGGAGTATTCCTCCTTCCGCCTTCCCCCCCTGGTTCCGCAACTCTATCCTCAGGAACACACAGCATAGACCCGAAGACGATGCTGTAGTCACAAATGAACTAAGTGCACTCACTGGACTTATCCGGATGAGCCCAGAGCCGATGACAACGACGATATTGATGATATCGAGCCCTCTACTGACAGTGGCAGTGGCCCAGGTGATACTCTCGAACCTGAGATACCCGTAAACCATTCAGACGGTGAACCAGAGATACGACTCGATGAGACAATGGACCCCATTGACAATCCTGATCCACACACTGAACCTCTTACGGACTTGGTTCCTCCTCAAAGATTGAGAGATGCAGATAGTCCCGGCTGCAACAAAAGTATTGAGGAGAAGTTCTGGAATGAGAACCCCCATCCCCAAAGTCTTCCTCCAATTACAACAATCTTCAATGCCATCCGTTCACCCACCCAGTCCATCCAACAACAACAGCCAACCAAAATTTGGAAGGAAATAATGGAGTTGCTTCTGCCTCAAGACGCCAGAAAAGTAAGAATCCTCCCAGGCTCCCCAGTGACTCATGCCACTGATATCTCATTAGATAGTGAATGAGAGCAAAACAAGAGATAAAGCAAGATATTACAAACATATTGCGATCTTCCCTGATGCATTACCGACAGTCAATCGCCGGCAGCTGATACATGGAGCAATAATCGATGCCTACATTGAGATGCTGCAAGACCTTACAGACGAAAAGCTATGGGATATCCTCAAGACTACTCGCCCCCGCGTGATCATGTTTCCTACTCAGTGTGAAGGAATGAGGCATTGTATGGCAGTTCACCTGTTGGATGTATGTGGGAATGCTTACACCGATGGACCCTGTACTAACCAACCTTCAGTGAGCCACAAAGAAGGTCCGAACTGATCTTTTTGACGCAAGCGCTTGGACAATTCCATGCTACTCAAGGAAGTGCAGTCACTGGCTGCTTGGCGTTGTAAACTTCAAACAACGAGAGCTGCGCTATCTTGACAGCATGCCTCTCCAGCAAAACGCTCATATAGGCTGTCATGGTCCACAGTGGGTGTTTACAGTGTGTTCCCAAACTCTAACCCGCATCTCAGTGTCAATGATACCTCTTTCATCAGATACTTCAGGGACTAGTCAATGCCACCTGGTCGTTCATCCACCCTGATGATGAGCATGGATACAACTGGTCCAATTGGTCCACTCGAGCAGTCACTGTAGGTGTGCATCTCGCTGAATCGTGAACATCATATATATTAAAAGCCCCAGACAGAACCGCACCAATGGAATGGGTATGATTGTGGGGTTTGGACCATGGCTGACATTCAAGCTATACACATCGGACTTGATGCTGCGCCGAAAGACATGAACATCAACAATTTCGGGATAGGGTGAAACAACAGATCCTTTCCCTTCCTCCATCAACACCGTGTTGGCAGCCTACCTGGAGAAGCCTGGATCCGGACCTCATTCATGAACTGCGGTGCCAAGCTGCTAAAGTGGCCGCAACATTTCCCGTTAATTATTCCGAGCTCGAAATCGATCACACGGACTTCCCATTAGTGATGGATGATGAACAAGAACAAATAGATTTGACCGACTAGTGGAGTCTATGTATGATGGATTCGTAGTCTGTATCTACTTTCTCCTGAGATACTGAATCCTAACGAAGATGTCCCATTTCGTGATTCGTGAAAAACTCATGGGTATGAAGTTGCTCACCTTTTCACGGTCATCAGATCCGCTGTACTCAATCCTAGCTGGGTGTGAGTTGATTTGGATCTTGCTATTCACGCCAGAACCGTTTCCAGCGCCGCAAAGCAAGAGACAGCTGTTTAAACAACCACCTGTCCCAGCTGGATCGCGCACCACCACCAATGGAGAATGGAGCCATGATTGCTCATCCTTTGGGGCGCTTACAAACAGCTGTCAAGAGCCCGCTCAGTTTTCCGCTGCACCACGCTCCCTCTCTTCTTAGTAAGGTGTTTCCTCACTCGTGAATCCTGGACTAGCATCCTGCAGCTCCCTCGCAGCCGCTAGACCCAATTGCCTTCTGAGCCAACGATGTCCTCCTCATGATTCGCACCAATCATCACTCGCCCGCTCAATGTCTGCACTCTCAAACTTGTCACTCCACCTCTAGTTTAGCCGTTTAACACCACCAAGTGCGTGAAGGGCGAAGTTACTCCTCGGTAAGCCCTTACTGATTCCCTCCACAACGTAACCTCATTTGAAGGCTCCAAACTAGTTCGAAAGCTCCTTGTTCTTCATCCAGCACGTCCTCCTTTCTTTCCCCTTGTCGAGATGTCTGCGTTCGATGTGGGTCGGTTCACCATTTAAGACAGATATCACAATGCTGACAAAGAGGTGCGGACCCTATACTTATCATCACGAACAGGGCATCTCTAACCATCCCAACCTTAGGACTGATCATTTCGAATTTAGGTGCTCCAGGCATATGGATAACCAGGATCGAGCCAAAATCATTTGGAGCCCTTCAATCTTTGGGATAGCTCTGCCCAAACAAGGGACCGCCCACCATCACAAGCCCCCTCCGCAAGCTGAAGCAACGAGCATGGAAAGACTCTGATGCTTTTTCAGTCTGAGACATTTACCCCGGTGACAACCTGTTATCTTATGAGGAAAGTGCTTCAGAGGATGACAAACCTCAGCAACGTTCACTAACTAATGCTCAGAAGCTCAACCTCATCCCAATAAAGCTTCGTGGCTCCACCACAAACTATCCCGCTATACATCATCCTTGATTCTGTTGTCATGCTTGCTAGTGGCAGGTCCTCTGCCAGTCAACCCGTGAGACGGATAGTGTGTTCTCATGTTCTTGTGCTGGGCATTGACTCTGCTTTCCATAGGGTGTCCTTTCCATAAAATGACCTAAGTGATTCGTCCTCACTTACAAAGTACGATAAAGGGTGAACCTCCTATTTGATAAACCCTGTCAAATAGACCCCTCGCATCCGTTCGTTGTGTGCTTCAGCTTTACCTCTTTCTTTGATGTTCATTGTGCTAATTTACATCTACTTCTAGTATTTCCCCTGTTTGCCCAAAACATGTTTCTTTTTTGGCTTGCTTTTCTCCTACTTCGCCTTTCACCACGTGATATGCTGGTTAGTTCTTCCCTCTTTTCTTCTTTCATCATTGTACATCCCCGTGCTCAAGCATGAAGTTCTCGACCCGCGCTGTGGCTCTCGCCACACTGTTCCGACTGAAACTCTTGTCCGTTTGCACACACGATGTATAGTAATTCAATGAGGCTGAAATATGTCAGAACAATGTATTTCGGTTCCCTGCAAAAACACTCAAGGGAGTAACTTCTGGACAGGTACAAAATATTAAGAACAAACTTAAATGGCACAGGCACCTAATTAGATCTCTGCTTGAAGTCTATGAACTTCGTTCTCCAGTTGCATGCATCTTGATGCCAATATTGCATATTCGTCGATATTGATGCCGCAGTGGGGGCACTTTGAGGATTCTCCAATGGCAAGCCAACGTTCCATAGCTGAAAATGGATCGAATTCATCATCCATCTCTAGCCTACCTGAATGTGCCTGTTGCGGTGCCGGATATGGTGCCGGTTTGGCCTGTCTTCTCAGTACTCCTTAGTATCTGGTCTTGCCTATTATCATTATGGGGAGATGTCTTACCGGTTAAGTTTGTGGGCTCCCATTGAACGAGTGGCGGATATCTTGGTTGTAGCATTCAGG